TTTTTTTTTTTTTTTTCAAATTTTATATAAAACTATTTGAATACATTTGGTTGCTGCAGAATTGTATTTTTTGCCTATATTTCAGTTGTCGACATTGATCCGCTACCAACAACTGTTGCAAAGGTTTCAAGGATTGATATCAAACCAATGATTAGTATTGCAGAAGCAATCAACAAAGGACAGAGCGATGTAGTCCCAACGACTGCAGAACCGACTTCAAGCAGTAATTATTCATCTCGTAAAAATTTTCATCTTGTTTTTTTTTTTTTCTTCTCAATTTGACAATTAATTAAACAATTAAACAATTTGTTCGTTTAATTTACAGTAACAAAACTAATCTGCCGGTGTAACAGTTTGGTTTGGTTTATTTTCAGTTAAAAATTGTTTGGATGTTATTATTCTGATGGATCGATCACAGTCAATATTGGAGGATGTTTACAATAGTGTATGCCATACTGTACATCAACTATTTGATTGCTAAAAATCAAATTTTTTAACTTAAAAATTTTTATCTCTTCACTTTTTTTTGCTATATTTTTTGTTTTCTTTTTTTGCAGTATACAAAACAATTTTTGATAACATTGGCTGAACAGTTTGATTTCACTGGCGAATCTAATAAGAATGGACTTTATAGTCGTATCGGCGTAATACAGTATGCAACAGATGCTGATGTATATACTTAGTCTTTGTTCACTAAATGTTTTGTTTTATTTCCAAAAGAATTTGTAGATTTTTTTTTGAATATGTATATACTAAATTCAAAAAAAAAAACGTTTTATTGATACAGTTATTTGTCAGCAAAAAGAAAATTGTCAACAAGTAATAGAACCGTTTTTAGCTGACTATTGATTTGGAGAAACGATCAAGAGAAAATTTTACAAATTTAGTGACCAGATTAGTGTCATATAATGCTTATCGTGGAATGTCTAACATTCAAATGTAAGTGCATTTAATATGTAAAATATAAAAACTTTTATTGTTTTTTTTTTTCTTGATAAGTTAAAAAATCATATAAAAATTGCCAATTGTAAACTAATAGCAAAGTTTTTTACAATAAATATTTCAAAATTTTAGAAAATGATAAAAT